GAACATTAAAACAGCCTTCTCCTAATGAAACTGCTAAGCTGTGAACTTCGTGAAATAAATGTTAATATCTTTATTGACAATTTACTAGTATTACCAAGAGACATTTAAGTTGTTGAATGCAATGCTTATTATTGTATTATTTAACGTTTAGTTAATGCTTATTACTGCATCAACAAATGTTAGCAGTGTCGTTAAACACTATTAAATAATGTATGAGGTAATACTTTAACATGAAAAACATTAGTACATGATTAATAAATGCATTAGTTACTTATTAGTTAATGCTTATTACTGCATCAAGTACGGTTAATTAATGTACCCTTATTGTAAAGTGTTACCAAATATGTAATAATATATAATTATATTAATTGCCATATATAAGGTGCAGTCATTTACTGCTGTTTGAACATAATTTTGTATTAATCAAACACAAGAGAGCCCATGTTACTAATTGTTGCATGCACTAAGTAATAATCACAAAAGACAGCCACCCCATGGCTAATGGGGAAACATGGAGAATGGATCATGGTCATCTTCTGAACCACTGTGATGCCATTTTCTCCTTGTGATGGGCGATTTGATATGCAGGATGGGATGTAAATCATCCATGACAAGCACTCATCCACAGATGGAGCTGCTATAATTTAAAGAGCAGTTCTAAGGCAGAATTTAAATCTGCATTCAAAAAGCTAAGACATGTCTTTTGAGACTTTTGACCTTTGTTTACTTAATTTAGTCACCATAAAAACTAAACTATAAAATAAGATTTGCAGAGACATTTGATCAATGGCTGTTGTCATACATACACGAGTGTCGGCTGCACCAGGAGCACTCTACGGCCAGTATTTCATCTGAAGACTTGCTATACATCTCCTGCCACAATACAAAGCTGTGGAGTCTGGCAGCTCTGGAATATACACTGCTCAGTCACAACATTAAAAACACCTGCCTCATACTGTGTAGTCATCCACCTTGTACAGCTCTGATCTGTTGACACATGGACTCCACAAGACCTCTGAAGGTGTTCTCTGGTATCTGATATCACTACGGTAGCTGCAGATTTTTTAAGTCCGGCAAGTTGCGAGATGGGGCCTCCATGGATCAGCTTTCTTTTTTCAGCACATCCTACAAATGCTCAAGTCAGTTTGAGGTCTGGGGATCTGGAGGCCAAGGTACTACCTTGAATTCTTTGTCATGTTTCTCAAACCATTGTAGTGTCTCACATATGGAAGACAAGTGCTCACACTGACCAAGTTAAAAAAAAAAAAAAAAGTACATTTATTACAACTGTGAAAAGTAATGGTGAAAAAATGTGAACATTTCAGTGAAAAGACCATTGCCAGCACAGCTCACAGACCCTGTAACTACAGACATAAACAGACAATCAGCTATCGGTAAAGACCAATCAGAACTAAAGACAAGAAGTCAACAGCCTCAGGTCTGATCACACAACCTGCATGGAGGGCACATCATCACCGACCAAGTGGCAGTACACACTTTAAATCACACACACCACTCATACACGCATACAAAAACTGATACAAAGCTGACCTACTTTTCACAGTGTGGCAGGGCATGTTATCCTACTTAAAGAAGCCACTGCCACCAGAGAATATTGTCCTAAAGAGGTGTACTCGGTCTGCAACAGTGGTAGGTGGTATCTGTCAAAGTGACATTCACATGAATGGCAGGACCTATGGTTTCCCAGCAGAACATTGCCCAGAGCATCACACTGCCTCTGCTGGTTTGCCTTCTTCCCACAGTGTTCCCTGGTGTCATACGCAGGAAGCTGCAATGCACTGTTCTGACATCTGTCTTTCATAGCCAGCAGTAAAGTTTTTCAGCAGTTTGTGTTACAGTAGCTCTTGTCTCAGGACAGGCTAGCCTTTGCTCCACACATGCATCACTGAGCCTTGGGCGCCCATGATCCTAGTACCAGTTGACCAGATATCCTTTACTCACCACTGCATACCCCACAGAGCCTGCCATTTTGGAGATGCTCTGACCCAGCTGTCTAGACATGACAACCCTTGTTAAAGTCACTCAGATCCTTATGCGTGACCATTTTTTTTCTTGCTACCAGCTCATCAACCTTAAGAACTGCATAATATATCTCACCCCTTGACAGGTTCCATCGTAACGAGATAATCAGTGCTCTCTTCACCTGCCAGTGTCTTTAATGTTGTGGCTGATAAAATTGAATAATGTCTCTGGACCACATTTTAACATTTATTTATTAAGCTATTAAGTTTATTTTACAGATCACACACCAGATCCATTCATTATCTATATTGCTTATCCTAATGCGAGGGGGTCTAGAGTCAGTTGACATTGGGCGAGAGGCGGGGGTGCACCCTGGACAGGTCATGATTCCAGTCAAAATGTGCAGTTAATTGTTAGTCTAACGTACAATGTCTTGGTGCACAGCAGGTCAGCTGAACATGCAAAAATGGGAGATTTGTCTCCAAGCAAGTCTACATTGAAACATTTGTGGAGAATAAAGTGTCAAATTATAACTCAACAATCTATTTTGTTCAGTTTAAATAGAGCAGTTTCCTCTGGAAATCATTGACTATTTATAGACATAATTACCTGAACTGCCTCAGATTTTGGACAATTAGATGGGACATGATTAGGAAAGTATTCCTAAAATACTGTGCTACCAATTCAGAATTATGTATCTCATTAATTTTGCACATTTGAGCTAGTAAGCTATTCAAACAAAAGAGCATATACACGCAAGTAATGTTTCATATAATACATTGGTTCAGTCAGTACAAAATGCTGTATTACATGAAGCACAGCAGGTGGCTGTAAAGAGCTTCAGTGTGTTTTACACTGGCTGCTCTCAGGCCTGTGTGTTCTGTGCGTGCTGTGCCTTGAGATGGTGGGATTGAGTGCAGCTTCTGCGGCTGGCAGCACAGTGGCACTCATCATGCAGGTATTACAGGTCCCAAGGGAAAAAGGAGGACTTTTCTTGCCTGGATCAGCAGACCCGGAGGGACAGCATGCTCAAGTAAAGCAGAAAGCTGATTGGCTACACATACTTACCGTGTTTGTGTGCGTTTGGACCTATGTTTCCTTCTCTTCCACCGAGAGAAGTGATTTTCCTCTGAGCCTAATCTCTACAGTTTAGCATCATGGGGGTGGAGAATAAGCTTGGAATGTTCATAACACCTGGGGACAATTACTTTCCCAAATAATTTGCCAGTTATAAGCTAACAAATGCCTGAGGGGGGTCTCTGTTTGGTACAGACTTGGCTTATATGTGCACAGCGACTGTCTTTTTATTTATTTATTTATTTTATTATTTTTTTGTGCATCTGTGTTTTTGGCTGCTGTTTGTACACCCATAACTACCATGAGATGTAGTGTGTA